AGACAAACACAGCAGGCTTCCAGGAATCCCGGCAGGGTGGAGTGTCTTTCTCAGGCCATCTAGGAAAGGAGGCAGGAAGGAGAAGTCATCAGTAAGGCTTCTATTCTCGGCTCACTTCCATCTCAGGAAAGTACATTATAACTTTGAAGAGTTTTTACAAACACATACTTGTATATATAACAAACATTAATTGAGAGATTGCTGTGTGCTGGGTACCTAATTAGGTCCTGGAGATACAAGATTCACTGAGGTAGTTCCTATCCTCTAGGACTCCCAGGCTTGCAAGTAACATTTTGGTTGCCCACCTGTAGTGATGAGCACTTAACCTGGCAACAGGAGGTATCTATAGTATGCGTTAAGTGAATGAAATGAAATGCATACATGAAAACAGAAGTGTCTGGGTGTTTTCTTCCAGAAGAGCATCTAAGAAGGAAGCTGGAGAAATAGGAACTATATCCCTATTTGTGCCTATTTTGGAGCAAGAGAAACCCTAAGAATGAACCAAAAGATAAGTAGTGACGTTGAGAAGACAGAGGAAAGCAGGGGGCCTCCCCGATGCCTGTGGGAGGAAAGCAAGGATGTAATGGCAGCCACCAGGGAAGAGGAACGAACCCTGGGTCATCACTGCTCAGAAGGGCGCCAGCTGTAGTCCCCCATGGCAACATCCAGAAAGTAGAGTGGCATCAAGGAGCACGTTCTGTCTCTAGATGGTTGTCAGCCACCACCTGCATGTGTGATCTTGTGCTTCTGGGCAAACGGGGTGGGCATAGGAGGCAGGTCCCAGTCAGAGTGACTGGGTTCCAGTTCTGGCCCCACCACTTGGCCTGTATGTGACCTTGTGCTGTCTACTTGACTTCGCTAGAGAGCTGAGTTCCTTGCCTATAAAATGAGGATTTTACTAGAACCTACCTCATGAAGTCGTGTAAGGATTAAATGAGATCGTCCACAGAAAACACTTACTAGAGTAGTTGGCATATAATTAGACTATAATAAATATTAGCTATTATTACCATCAGTTTTCCTAAGACTGTTTCTCCATCCATAAAATGACAGCGTGAACCAGCAAATTTACAAGGTCTCCTATAGATAAAAGAAATGGCTCTGATTTCAATATTTTGTTTCCATTTATGTAATAAGATGGGAGTGGGTGGTTTTCGGGCGAGTCAGTTCTCTCAGGAAGAAGGAAGAAGGGCTTGAATGAGTAGAGAAGTAAATGAGAGGATTATCATGTGCTTGTGATAAGAAAAGCGTGTATTTTAAAAGTAACATGCTATACTACCTCCTCCCATTCCACGTTAGGCAAAGAAAGCAATTCTTCACATTTGAAACAGTTTTTCACATCTGATGTAGCTCAGACTGGCTAAACAAAAATCTCAAAAAAAAAAAAAGGGTTCTTTGTGTAACAAAGATGGGCTGGTCTGACGTTCACAGACGCCAATCTTTCTTAGAGCTCACAGCCCTTGTTGACCTTCGTTTTAGCTGTTAAAAAACCAGACATGGCAGTCCCCCTGCTTTTAATAATTAACTAACCTTCATGTCCCCGTGTCACATGGTCTGTGTCACACTTCTTCAGCTTTCAGGGTGGCAGAAACATCCAGATCTTTAAAATCTGGGCTCATCTCACAGTTTTGGCTACACTCACATACATTTTCAAAGTTGAGGTAACAGAACATATATCCTTCCTCTCTCGTCCTCACTGTGCTATGCCCCCCACGTCTATCCCATCCACTCCAACTGGACCTCAGGAGGTGTCACCAGCCACCTATTCTGAATCAGCCTTTATGGACCCAGGAATTTCAGACTTCAGGCAGAAACAAGTTTAATATTTAACCCCAAGGGAGCAAAGGGCATTTAGAATGAGATATGGAGTCCCAGGACGCAGAGACAGAAAGTCAGATAGGCAGACTGACAGGGAAAGGAAAAGCGTCATCAAATCCCAGAAGGAAGCCAAGCTCTTTACAAAGCACTCCTTTATTTTGTATAGTACATTCTTCAGATGTACAAGGTAAGCAGCTGTCTGTGCCTGCACTCTCTGTCCACAGAAAGCTTGTGCTAACAGATGCACAGGGTGGCGGTTTGCTCACATACTTCCAGCATGAATCTCCTAAACCGCTAGACTTAGAAAGCTGCCCACAAAAGACAAATGGAATGATACCTCAATTAATTTGTATTCAGGAAAGAGGCTTCTTGACAATCAAGATTAAGTCTCCAATTTACCCTGAGAATCACTGTTTGCCATGGGAAGTTAAGCACAACAATTGATAACTTTTATTGCTTTCTTAACAGGCTGCAAAATTGCCTGAAGTCCTATCAGGTAGTAACTAGACAATATGATGCAGTTTTGTAAAATTATTTTACATGAAATTTCGAGTTATAAAGATTATGGTCGGTAACTTATTTACATATAATTTTCAATTTCAAAAGCGAGGTAGTTGAATAAGGATCAAATGCAAAATTATCTTTGCTCTCTCCCAGCTTACAGCCACACACCCAGAGGAATATTTTATACCAACCTGTGAAGCTCCTTGCTTCTTGGTACCTAAGGAATATAGCAAAAGTGACAGCATGGGTGAATTCATTTAATGTACTGAACTGAATATTGTTGATCATATATATTTTCTAACCCTTCTACTGCCTACTCCATGACAATTCAAACAACTAAAACATATACTGTCAGTGATGAAGATATATATGTATAGATAATCTTAGGGATTAGTGTGGGTCTTTCAAGATGACAGAAATAGTGTGGTATAGTGACAATGATAATAATTGCTCTCAATAGTAATTTTTGGAGCACTTACTATGTGCCAGGTATTTAGACCTTTACATGAATTAACTCATTAATCTTTATAAGAGCTGTGTGAGATTATAATACCATTGAAAAATGAGAAAATCAAGGCACAGAAAGACGTGCCCAAATTTTTGAGGTCTGGGTTCCAGTTCTAGGTATACATTAGCTGGTGTGAGTTTGAGGGCAAGTCATAACTTCCCCAGAGTGCATTTTTTTTTTCTGTTTAGTGGACATTAAAACAAGGAAAACATCCTATTATTGATCATTTATTATGGGTCAGACACAAGGATAAGCATTTTACATGCATTATCTCATTTAATCCTTACAGTAGTCAAAACGAGGGAGTTACTATCAATATTACCCTCATTTTATAGATAAGGGAACTGACGCCTAGAGAGATTGAGTTACTGGATGTATTCCCAAGTGCTAGCGCGGGAATCTGACTCCCGGGCTGTACGTCTCCAGAGCCCGTGCTCTTAACCTCTGTGACCTTTCCAGCCTCAGTACCTTTAGGCTTGTTGTTTCCTCTGCCTGTAATATTCTTCTTCCAGATTTCTCTAAAGCTGGCTCAATCCCATTCTTTAGGCATTAAGGCATCTGGCTTGCAGAGGATTTTTGCTCAGGACTCTCAGCACTGCATAATTCCAGGGGGCGCTGTTCACATAGACTGTAACTTGAATGGCGCCTCCCAGGAATTGAGTAATACGGCAGCTCCGTTTTCACTGACTACCTCCTGGTCATTCTCTATCACCCCATGTGGTTTCATTTACTTCTTAGCACTTATCCCTATCTAAAATGAACTGTTTTATGTGTCGGTTTTTCCCAAGGATTGTAAACTTCGGAAGGACAGGGACCTATCTTATTGACTGCTGTTTGCCAAAGATTTAGTGGCAGGCCCTTTGTGTTTTGGATGCTGTTGAATAGGTTATACTGACTTGCCTCATCGAAACCACAGAGTTGTTGTAGGATCAAGTTTCATGACATTCTGGGCACATCATGAAGACACTGATGTAGTAGGTTAGGAATATAAACTACTTTGTACATTTTTTTGTACTTTAAGTTTTATGAGCTTTGCAGCCGATTAGGACTATTGGGCCCCCGACCAAATAGACATTTATTTGACAAAAATTAAGAAGTCTCAGAATATCAAGTGTTGGAGAAGATATTGATCAACGTATATCACTTTAATATTTCAGATGGGAGTGTACCTTGGTTCAACCAGTTTTGAAATTTTGTAGATATGACCTTGTAAAATTAGCATGCACGTTTCCCTTGTAAGGTTAGCCAGTTTCCTAAGTGGATGCCAGTGAGAAACTCCTCCACTTGTTCCCAGGAGATAGTACAAGAATGTTCACTGTCACCCCATTTAAGGCAATGACAACAATGGAAACAACCCAAATGCCAAGATCAAGAAAACAGACAATGTGTGCTCTAGAAATGTATGAAGACTTGCAAAATGAATTAATTAAAATTACACACAAAAATCTAGAAGAATTTTAGTAATATAATCCTGAATGAAAGCAAGCTAGTCCCAGACTACTATATAAAACTTGATACTCTTTTAATGTTCATGAAAAAAAAATCCCTAAATAATTATTAAGAACAAAAAGAACAATAGACTGGTTCCAACTCAACATTTGCCAGTATGGTTACCTTGGGTAAGGGAAAGTGGGGGAAGGATCGGGAAGGATTGGGAAGGAGAATACAGTTAAATATAAGTGCTGCCAAGGGTTCTGGTCCTTGGGTTGGATGGTGGTTTTTGGCAATCAACCACCTGCTTCAACACCATTATTTCACATTCTTCCCTCTACATAGAGAGAAGATTTGTAAGATAGACTCAAAGGTGACTAAGGGTGAGCTGGATTCAGGGTCATGTCTATTCAGTTGTGTATTTCCAGGGCCTATGTGCAGTGTCCAGCCAAACACAAATCCTCAGTGAGGTTTCTTGAATAAATGAGTGAATAAATGAATAAATGAGAAAAAAAATGTAAAGTTCTTTTGGTTACTATTTGGTTAATACAAATAAGCAGTCACCCTCATACTTCATCCTGCTCCCTACACATGCTGGATTATGTAAACAATTTCCTAATCAGCTGAAAATAAAAATACTACCATGCTCCCAGAGTAAACAACCACATAGCATTTTCCATAGAGACTATTCCACTCATCAGTACTGGGTTGTGTAGGGAGAAAATGATTCCAACTCAAATACAGTACAGGAAAAGCTTTTTAATGCACTTTTTTTTTTTCCAGGCAAAAGAGCTTCAGAAAACATCCATCATCAAGTAGTTTTACAAATGGCACTTTTGGCTACACTAGAGAATTAGAGATGAATCCCGTGTGTTTTCTCTGATAGGTTAGTAGTAGATCAGCTTTATAATGCAACCCTTTCTTTGGATAAAAAATAGCTAATTTGTTCTAAAAGACAGGAAAAGCTGAAACCTTAAAGTCATTTAAAAAAAATTAACATTTATTTCATGCTAATCTATCTATTTTCATCTCATAATTTTAGCATTATGCTATAATTTTGAAGAAAGGGGGCACATAAATTTCAATGTAATTTTAAAATAAACATATATATTAAGTACATATATTAGTGCATTTGATAATACCATGTGTTAACTTTGATGATGATCTTCATTTTGGTACACTGCAGATTTGCCCTTTTGGTATTAAACTGAGGAAAAGCATACCTGAAATTCTGCCTTAAATGAATAACACCATGTTCAATGATACCAGTAGACTCTAACCAATTAGCAAAACTGAAAAGAGTTATTTTGATCATTTATAATCAAAATGAAACAGGGTTAATACTCAATATGAGAGGATAGTTAATGTCATTAGTTTAAGATAGTTCTTGAAAGTAGATTATTATTTTCACAGCATATCTGAAAGGAATGAGTATATGAAAATGCGAGACTCCATTTGGAACTGAAAGCAATGATTTTTAAATTATTAATTGCTACCACTCCAACGCATTCACCTTTTATAAGGTAGTGAGTGTGAAATTGATCACATCTAATCTACTCAGACATGGAAATTGTCTTCATGTTACCCATCATTTCTTAACTAGTCCCCTTATTGGTTTACACAATTATTTAACAGAGTTTAATAATAAAACATCACACAATAGGATCAACCCAAATGGCAATTGCATTTTTCTCTCTACAGCAAAATTAACAAACATGGCTTTCAAATTTGCACTGATAGCATATACTGTGCTCATGAAGAAACAAAAACACTATTTCCGCCTCCCTCACAAAAACCTAAATATAACATTACACAACACCGAAAAAATTTTAAAAAGTGCTTTCTCTGGGAAGAAAGAAAGTCATTTCAGGGATTCTCAATGAGTGAAACCTCACATGTAATACACTGCCACATACAGACACACATATGAAATAAAAGCTCTTAGAAATACTGCTTACTGCTAATTTAGAATAATTCTTGGTTTACACTTAGGGATGGGTTTTCTAAATGTGAAAGCAGTTCAACTGCCAAAATATCACATAAAATACTTATTTTTTAATGATCTAACAACCCAAGTCCTGAGTCACTTAAAACATATACCCTTCACCTTCACAGGTACATGGTACCATTTGCATTTAAAAGTACCCCCAGGCCAAAGGCCTGTTTTTACCAACTTACCCTGCACTGCAGAAGTCTATACTGTAAAGGATATAGGATTGGGGGACAGGAGACTGGTGTTTGGCCCAGGCTCTGGACCTAACAAGCTTCATAAGTTGGGACATGTCACCTGGTGATTCCACACCTATTTCCTCATCAGCAGGATGCAAAGAATAAACTGTGCTCTCCGTGTCTCCATGTAGTACTTGCTATCTAGCTTTTCGCATTTTCTGATTTTGAAGTTTCCCTTAGGCACTGGGCTTTATTCACAACATTACATTTCTACCTAGCAGTTGGTCAGTAATTTGCATCTGGATAGCTGAAGCCTTTCAATGACTAGGTGACTTCTGTGTCCTGTATTTAAAAAATAGCCAGTATCTACTCTTGATGGATTAAAAACGGCCATGAATTCTTTGCAGCTTTTCCAATCAAAAGGTAAAGGCTGTTTCCCTACCTCTTGATTCTGGGCTAGTTTTGTGACTTGCTTTGGCCACCAAAATGCTATGCAAGTGACACTGTGTGGCTTCCAAGCAAGTCCACAAAAGGTCATGTAGTTTCCATTCTCGCCCTCTTTGATCTCATGAGGCCTAATGAGGAAGCCCAGGCTAGCTATGGGGAAAGGCTACATGGAGTGTAACTGAGGCACCCCAGCCAACAGCCCCAGCCAACTACAAGATGTATGCATGGAGCCATCCAAGATCTGTCAGCCCCCAATCAACCTACACACTGACCACAAATGTTTGTGCGAACTCCACCACAAATATGGAGCAGTGGCTAGCCATCCCAGCAGAGCCAACCCATGGGATCATGAGTAAAGAAACTTTGTTATAAGCCACATTTGTGGGTTGTTCGCTGGATAGCCATGGATAGCTGACACACAACTCTGTATCAGGAACTGTGCTAGGTAAAGGGACTACCTGGGCAACAAGACAGGGTCCCTCTTCTGCAGATGATTAGAGTATAGCTAGGCAGAAAGACATGTAATGGGACAGGTAAATATCATCAGTGTTATAATTATAGGAGGTACATAAGTGTCCATAGGAATCTAGAGAAGAGGCGTCAATCCCAGAACTAGGGAGCTGACAAAGGTGTCTCAGAAGAGATAATATCTAAGGGCAGTTAATGAGATAGATGTTTCCAGGCAAAGAAGAAGGAAGGATATTCCAGGGAGGAGAAACTGCTTGCGCAAAGGCTGGAGGGAGCTAGATGGGACCCCTAGGGAATAATTAAAGCATTCACTTTAATTACAGTGTGAGGACGGCAAGGGTGAGATGGAGGTGTAGCTAAGGTGAAGCTCTCTTGACCTTCAGTAGAATTCTCTAGCATTTGGCCTTTAAACTGAGGGTGATGGGAGTCCCCTTGGTATTCTGTTGACCAAAGCCATCCATGACGCTCTCTGAATCAAAGAAAATTCACGGGTAAGAGGATGTGTGGAGTAAATAAAGCCAGACACTGCTCTGGCGCTTAAATTGGCGAAAGGGGCGTGATGTTATGCCAAGGTCTAAGACGTTGGGCATAGGATGTGAGTAAAATGTACTCGTACAAGCAGCAGGCAAGAAGATGTCAGTTCCTGGAAGGTGGTCCTTCTTCTTTTGTTTATTAATGGATACCTGGGGACAGAAGGCATTTAAGACTCATCTTTTAAAGATGTTATAAAACTTTTTTACAGTCCAATGGTAAGGACTCCCACTTACTAGCTGTGTGGCTTTGGGCGTAAGACTAACGTCTTTATGAATCAGTTTCCTAAGCTGTAAAAGGGTGATAATGATATTGACCATGTAGGTCAATAAGAATAAGCAGTGTATAATTTTAGCACAGCACCTGATACAGAGCAAGCCCTCCACAGAAGGTCTCTCAAGGCGGACAGGCTTCAGGGCAGGTGGGTAACATGGGCTTTAGTATTATTAAATAAACCCATGTTTGAATCCAGACTATATCACTTAGTAGTTCTTGCAGCTGTGTGAACTTAGAGATCATTATTAAACTTGCGCAGACTTAGTTTTCACAGCCAGAAGGTGAGGATGATAATACCAACCTTGCAGGGTTGTGATGAAGATTAAAAGAGATCATGTATGCTAAGTACTGCAGCACAGAGACTGGTATACAGTATAAATGCACATACAATAATATGTATGGAGACAGTAACATTTCTCAAATGTAGATTGACAGTATTACTCTTAGACATTCTATATTACTTCAAAATCCTATTCTCTGACTAAAGCTACAGATCAGAAAAGTTGGATTACCAGAAATATACATTTAGCACAGTATGTCAATTCCACCAGTACCAAAACATTATGATAACCTATCACAAAAAAATGGCTGAGGTACAACATTCCTATCTTATTTTGTTAATACATAATAAGAAAGTAACCTTGTCGCTCAGAATGCATTATATGAAATTAAGAAGAATTTAGCATTCCCTGACTCCGTAATTTGGCACTTTAAGGAGTTTCCTCTATACACCAAGCCCCCAAATGCATTCTCTTCTAGACCAAAAAAAAAAAGACACATGCATATAAACAACTGAGCTGAAAAGTTACACCACCACAAGCCGGTGCTATTGGTGAAAAGTAATCCCACCAAATAAGCAGCATGTCATATCCTTAGAAAATGTTACACTAGGAAGTTAGCAAAAATTCAGGCCAATAAGGCAATTCAGTTTCAAGTTTTCTCAAAGGTGGGTCAAGTTCTAGAACACTTCACTTAAAAAGCGATGACTTCAAAGTGAAATCTTGCCAGAGGCTGGATTTTGAATTCTCTATTTGAATTCTCTACTTCTCTGTTTTCACATTCAACACATTCAGCATTAATTCTAGAAAACTATGGTCGCTGACTGACAGCACAAAATGAATTTAGGCTCAGAAAGAGAAAACAAAGCAAACAATTTTAAGTAGTATCTCCGTAATTACCTATCCATATCATCCCAAAGTTTTTGTTTTTTAACTAATGCTATCATTGAAACATCAGTTAGAAGTTGATACTAAGGGTAAGAATTAAGAAAATGCGACTTTTTTATTGTTTTCGGGTACTTGAATGCTTTAGAACCTTCTTCAAAATGCTAATGAACAGGTACTAGTTCTATGAATGATGCCTTTGAAGCTCAGTGAAACCAACATCGCCTAATAAACAGCTCCAAGCTCATTTTGGTGAGAGTACAATCTAAAGTCTAAAAACTACTTTATTGACTCTGACGAAGGGGATTTTATCAATGTTGCTGTTTTGGCTAGAGAAGCATTTTAACAACTTTCTGCCAACTAAGATAAAAAACAAACAAAGAAACAAACAAACAAACAAACAAACAAAAACCAGTGGATGAGAACTACACTTAGAAATCAAGTAAGGCAATTCTACCAAGTAAGAAAATTCTGCTTCTCCCATTTTTTTTTTCTACACTGACATAAGTTGTTGTTTTTAAGATGTTTTATCCGGTTCTTCTATATTCCAACAGCGTATGAAACTCGAATTAAGATGTGCATGTACGAAGAAAAGATTTGGACGGAAGTCTTGTCGTTGCATTGCTTTGTGTTGTTTTGGCTTTGCTCATCCTCAGGTCACTCAAAGGGCGGCCCACCTGCTCAGCACTCTAACTCCTCCATGACTTCCATGACAATCGTCCGTGGGCCCGTCAGAATCAGATTGCTTACAGTTCGATAGTCTACATGCAACACGTTGAGCCCATTTACAGAGACGACAAACTGACAGACCTAAGGGAAAGACAAAGAAAAAGAATCTATTATAGCTCCTGGTTTTTCACAGACCTCTACAAAAGACACTGGGTAGTTCTAACAGGTGACAGCATTCTTAAAATGCCCAACAGTATGTACCTAGATGACAACTGCAATTCAGTAATTTCCAAGAAACTACACTTTTTCTGGAAGGCAACATAATGGAAAAAAGCATTTGTTGTCACATTTTACAAAACTGGATTTAAATCCTAACTCAGCAATTTACTAGTTTAAGCTAGGTATTTACATTTCTGAGCTTTATTTTCCTTAATTCTAAAATAAGGATGATTAATAATAATAACAACAATAATATCACCTCTAAGACTGTTGGAAGAATTAAATAAGGTAGAGTGTATAAATCTTCTACTGCAGTTCTCTGAACCTATGGGGTACTCAATACATTTTCATAGTCACAGTATTTATGGTTCTTATTATTCATTTAGATCCAATGTATAGGGAGACCCTATACATTATTAATAATGCCTCCTGTCACTTGTCAAAGTGTTCCAGTTGAGATGATAAATTCCACACATTGCCGTATTTTTCCATCTTTATGAAAAAGATGAGGCCTTTATGCTAATGTTTATGCTAATGTTTATGCTAAGTCGGTGTTAGAATTACAATAAGAAAAAAGGCATGGTTCAATAATGAGAGGCCACTATAGATGTGTCATAGGAACTTGAAACTGACCCAATCCTACTGCCCCAAATGGAAGCACTTCTCTTGAGGTTGTGGTAGCATCAGATGCTGGGTACTTTCCATTTAACTGACACAAATGAACAAATGATATATTGGCTGTGTGTCTGACGAGGTGGACATTCGATATGAGTGATTTGTTTATGTCACTCAAATAGAAAAATGGAGAGACACACAGATCTCCAGCTGTCAGTGATATGAGCAAAATACAATTTAAGAGAATATAAGTCTATACAGTGCCTGGCACATAGTAGGTACTTGTGGTAGGCTGATAATATCCCTAGCCCCTAAAGATGTCCATGCCCTAATCCCAAGAACCTGTGAATATGTTAGTTCACGTGGCAATGGAGAATTAAACTTGCAGATGGAATTGGGTTGCTAAGCAGCTGATTTTAACTTAGGGAGGTTATCCTGGGTTATACACGTGGGCCCAATGTCATGACAGGGGTCCTTATAAGAGGGAGGTAAAAAAGTCAAAGGAGATGTAACAACAGAAGCAAAAGGTTGGAGCGATACAAGGAAGGGGCCAGGTGCCAAGGAATACAAGTGGTGTCTAGAAGCTGAAAAAGGCAAGGAAATGGGCTCTGCCCTCAGAACCTGCAGAAGGAATGCAGACCTGCTGACACCTTGGCTTTAGACTTCTGACTCCAGAGTGAAGATAATCAATTTGCATTGTTCTAAACCAGCAAGTTTGTGTTGATGTGTTACAGCAGTCATAGGAAACCAGTGGGCTCAACAGATATTCATTGTTGAACAAGCTGAATGAGCACATGTATGAAGCCAAAAAGCACAATCGGGATTGAGCCTGAAGGGTGTATTGCTTCTCATCAAGTATCCCTTCTTCACTTACTGGGAAAATAAGAAAATAAAAAGGAGGAAAAAAAAAAGAAGACAAAAGCCAAGAGGGGAGACAAAGTGGGGAGAAGGGAGGGAAAGGAGATAGTTGGATTGAGATTTTAATGTTAAATTTTCCTAACTTTTAAATGTTGGTCAATTAAACAAACACTATATGGGCGAGAGAGAGTACAATTCTGGTTGAGGCCAAATGCTAAAGGTGATCCTTGAGGGATGCAGAAACTCATCTCATCTTCAGGAGTCTGTGAAGGGTGAGCTGGAGTGTCTCACATAGCTTAATGTCTCCCATATCTGTTGTTCTGTTGTCTCATCATCATAGTTCTTTAAGTACAACGCCTGAGTAATTCATGTGCACACTTGCTCCCAATTATTAATTGATTAGCTAATTAATTAGTTAGTTAATCAACTCAAGGAATGTGAAAATACTACGCCACCTGAAAACCACTATTATTTCCCTTTGTTTTCTGAGTAATATCAATAGAAACTCAAACACTGTATTATTATAATATATAACATAAATAATATGTAATACATATAATATGTAAAATAAAATAAAATACTGTATTTTAAGTCTAAGAGTACTATACCTATTACTTAGCGAAACCAAAATTGAAAAGTATTAAAAAGGGAGCTGTGTGTATGTGGGAAAGATGTGAGATTTGGAATCTAATCATAGGGATTTCTGTCCTCATCACCTTTGCTCGATGATCTTAGTCAAGTCATTTGTCCTCCTCTATGTCTCAACAGCATCGTTTATAAAACAAAGTTATCCTCAAAGGTTTGAATTAGATAACGAATTGAAAACCTCTGCAAATATCAAGCCCTCATAGACCAATGCTGAGTTCTGTGAACTTCTGTGTCTTTAAAAATACTCACTTCCTTCCTGGTCACGTGCAAAACAAAATGGAAAGCGGACAAGTGGCAAGCAGATTGGTTCTTTACTCCATCAACCCTTGCTGTTGTCATAAGGCTCAATGGTTCCCACTCCCCAGCCTCCATTACTATGGCATCTTTGGGAGATAAGGACAGCATGTGATTACTGTTTCTCCTTTCCCATTTCCACAAATCTGTCCTCATGGATTCAGGGAACATTTTGTGCAGAATCAGCAGTTCTCAACCATGACCAAAGTCACACATAGTCCTAATTAAGGTCACTCTAGCAGCTCATAATCCATCCTGAAGCAAGCCACAAGTAATTTCCAGGACAATTTAGCACTAATTTAATGAAGACACTGGCTGGTGTTTTGTTTTTTTCTGCTCCAGCATACTCCTGAGACAAAGAATGAGAGGAATTCCACCCTCCTCCTGATCCAAAACATTAGTTCTAGACCTGGGTCCTCCTTTCTTCCACAGACTGGTGCCAAATGAGAGGGTGAAAGTTGCCAGGTAATCTCACACTCCGGCGCACCCTTCACAGGCTCCCAGAGACGAGATGTGTTTCTGCATCCCTCGTGGATCGCCTTCAGCATTTAGTCTCAACGAGAACTGTCCTCTCTCTCTGCCATGTAGCGTTTAATTGACCAATATTTAAAAGTTAGGAAATTTTAACATTAAAAATCTAGATTCTGGCCTCTCTGGAACAGTCTAGAAATCTAACAACACCAAGCCTGGATGGGCACTTGGCAGTGGCTGAGTAGGGGTGACCCCCTCTAGATGGGCACGCGTTCTCTCATTTCTTGTCACTTCCTGTATTTCTTGTATCTAGCTGACAGACAATTGTGTCTATGGTCCCTGATCAGGGGCCACTGGGAGGAAAGAGCTAAAGAGAGGGATGCTTGGTGCTTCCAGAGCTGCAGGACCCCAAATGTCCATCGACTAACTGAGGACAGGACAAACAAAATTTGGTAACTCCATAAAATGGAGTATTATTAGTCAACAATAAAGTGGAACCAACTACATGTTACAACCTGGATGTGCCTTGAAAATGTTATGCGAAGTGAAAGAAGCCAGTCACAATAGACCCCATATTGTATGAGTCCATTTATATGAAATGTCCAGAACAGACAAATCTACAGAGACTGACTGATGTATACTCTTTTTTAAAATAAGGCTGATTCAAGGTGACCGTAGGCCTAAAAACAATCTCAGCCCCTGCCTTCCCACATGCTTTCCAGAGCAGCAGAGAACAGGGGTGAGGTTAGAGCAAACGCACCATGAATCACTTGTATCCTATAACTTCTTACATGGGCTGCCCCCGGAGCACTCGTCTGAGAGTATTAAGACCATGTGAAGACCCTCTATCATAGGGTGATGGGGAAAAAAAGCTAAAACACCTTGTACCAGCGAGTGTGTGGAGAACTTAAATAAAATAAAGATTTAAATGGCTGAGTCCTTGCCTTCAGGGAGCTCACAATTTAATTTAGGAGGAGGAGTATCACAGGCAAGCTCCTTATCAAAGCAGCAGGAGACTTCTCAGTAAAATCTGTCATTTATTGAAAACCTATTCTTTTCTAAGCACCAATCCAGCTACTTCACCTACAGTATTTCAAATCCTCCTAACAACCATGGGGTCACATCTGTTGGGTTTGGGCCAAACAGCTGTCATCCTGCTGAAAGCAACTTGATACCATTTTTGCATATCACCTTTCTTCTGCTGTGGGCAACAGGGATGGAAATGTCAATCAAGGTGCCCACCCCTATCCATGGGGTCACGTGACCCATGTTTGGCCAATCAGACTCTCTCTCCTGGACCACCGAATCTGGAGCTGAGTAACTCAGGAGAGAAAGTTTATTTGCTCTGGTACTTAGCTCACCAGATTTGCCCTGGTTCGTCCTTTATCAGTAATAGCTGTTTTCTGTCATTAGCAATCCATCCCCAGTACAACCCTTATGAACAATCTGAATCTCAGAGAGGGTATTTGCTCAAGGTCACACAACCAAATGCCACAACTGGAATTTGAATTCATATAACTTCACAGCCCAACATAAATACTAATTTACAAAGTATGATATGCATATGTAATTTTCAAGAATACAGAAAATAGTAGGCAAATATTGTTTTCCCTTTGCTTCAGCTATTAATTAAACAGCCTGGGTCCACTCAAATATCTTGTGATGTTGATGTTTAGGTTCTTTCAACTTCATAAGAAGAATTTTACTTAGTTAAATTTGGGTTGCTTTTTGTGTCACTTAAAATTCTCAACAATATTTAAACTTAGACATTTATTTCAAATTGTTTTCATGAACGAGGAAAAAGAAAAAAAATGCCATTTTATCATGCTTATTTTCAAGGAATTATTTTTAGAGTCAGGCTGTTAGGAAAGACGTCATCTCTCCCTAAGTGGTCCCAACAACTGCTGTGGTTCCAGCAGTTCCAATGTCCTGTTACTAAAAATGTGCAAAATGATCTACAAATACAGGTAGAACTGTGTAACATATTCAGTTATAATGGACTTTGAATTACCATCCTCGGTACACTGTGTTCTGCA